CTCCCTATCCTGTGCCTCTCTCCTTCATCAGAAATCTGCCCTCTGATTATTACATCTGATTATAATGTATAGGTAATTACAATGCACGGGTAATAATAATCTGCTGCTAGCTGTTTTGTGCAGTTTTCATAGTGTACCCAAGCATCGAGGCTTTCATAAGCATGAATGTTTTCATAATAAATCTTCTTGCCTGTATTCATGTTGAACTATACGTTTCATGGAGGAAACGATAATAATTGGTAAACACTTCTAATTCAAGTAGTGTGCAAGTTAACAAGGAATTGTCTCTTGGTACTTGGCTCTGAGCAATTATAATTCATCTTAATAATTCTAAGGTCACTAACTTCAGCAGGGTGCCAACATTTAAAGGGCTTTCAGCATGTAGTTTAAGCGCAGGGGATGACACCCGCTGTGTTGCCTCACTTTAATATTTATGCAGATATGACCTCTGTAGAAAAAAGATGAACCAATATCCTACCGGTATAAAAGCCACGTCTGCGATTTTATTTTCTCATAAGTGAATGGATATTGTTATGATGCAGTTACAAGCATTCTGGCTTTCTTTTGTATTGCAAGACAACATGATCAGTCAGAAAAATGCTTTCCCCCCCCCCAGCAATGTGCTAACACTTCTGTCACGTTCTTGCTAGAAATATGTTATTTAACGAATCGAGCCATGCTGTCCTTGAACAGAACATCCTCGACACGCGCAGGGATCAGACAAATTCCAGCAGAGATTTTTTTTTCCTTTGCTGAGATTTTTTTTTTCTTTACATTTTCACAAAGGCAGCGGAGGGAGCGGATAGAAGAAGGCTTACCCAGGGAAGCGCCGCACTGGGCGGCCACGCCAGGCAGTGGGAATCCTTCTCAAGTTTTTGTTTAACCCAAGGTGTTTTTCATTATTTAGGGAATGCAAAGCAGAAAATTAAGACAGAGCATCTCAGCATCCTGGTGAGCAGCTTAGCACTGTGCAATTAATGTCTATTGATCGTGATGAAATGAGGAGTGAGAAGGAGGGAGGGTGAGAGGAACATCAGGAAAGCAGGACGAGATGGAAAGGGAAAGCAAGCAGGAGAGGAGGAGTTTGTGCGGCCTTGCAAAACGTGTCGAGAGCACTTTGCTGTTCTGTTCTTTGTTGCAAACCTCCCCGTTTCACTCCTGACCCAAAAAAGTCTGTCCCAGTTCAGCAGTACTAAGCCTGTTGGGGAGCAGCAAAGGAATCCAGCATCTCCTTGTGTGGAAGTGTCCCTCCGGTAGGACAGTCTATTTTCCTTTCAAGCCCGGCCCCGATGGCTTCAGAGGAAGCATCAGAGCAGCTTTGTTAAGGACAGTGAAGAGGGCAAAAAATGTTCCTGATGAGATTGCTAATTATGCAGACTTTAAACATGAGCTGACACCAGCTTTATTGCTTTTACTACCCTGGGCACATGCTGGCTCCTGCAGGAATACACGACGTGTGCCATGCCGGCCATCGCTTGTCAGCTTCTAGAAAGTTGAGTGAGAAATGGCAGGTTTTGTCTGTCCTTATGTATGTAGCTGAAGTGCCAGCGAATGCCTTTTCTCAGGTGGCATCAGCAATGCAGCCTCTTCCCGCAAGCACGTGGGTCCCGTTTTGCCCTCTCCGGTTCGTTCTGCACGACGGTTGCAGTGGGTCTCATCCGTGCAGCATGCGGCGCGTGGCACTCTCTTCCCGTGGCGCCTTTGCAGCAGTCGCAGATCCCACAGCCAAGGAGCAGCGGGCGCGTCGAGGTTCAGATTTGACTATCCAACACAAATAACACATTGCCCTTTCACTAGACCTCTGGAGCCCCTTCTAGTCATTAATTGAACCGCTATTAGGGCTCCTAATTAGCCATTATAGGATTCCATTAATCTCCTGAGCTGACTAAAAGAGTTACGGTCGCTGAAGCCCGTTTGTGTTGAGATGGAAGGGAGGTTTAACAAAGCCCGTGGCCCCAAGATACCTGCAAAAAGCAGGTTCCCTGGACCCACTTCAATTTGCATTTTGTGGTAGAGAGAGTTAAGGAAAGATACTTGTGAGACAGATATCTTGCGAGCAAATGCTATCAAAGAGCGGTGTGCGCTAGCATGCATTTCAGCACAGATCTCCCAAGCCAGTAATAGCTAGATGTGAAGCAGAAGAGTTCACACTGCTGTATGGAGTTTACAGTGGGCAAAATACGAAGCCAAATTACCCTAGCACACCCCTTTTTTGGTTTCAAAAGAGAACCAGAAATCAGGGATACTTTCCACGCACCCCAGACTGGAAAGCCTCCCCACACCAGGACCCCCAACCCCTACCAGATCCAGCCCCCTCCATCCGAACCATCTACTCTTTCCTATGGCCCTCGGGGAGGACGAAGATGAGCTTCTCGCCTGGGCAGCAGGAAGGGTCAGCGTTCAGTTTGACCGCGTTGTCCAGATTTTAAAATGACTCCAGGCAGAGACGGTTTGACTATGTGCTGGATCACTGTCACAGAAGAGTCAAGTCCTCATACCATGCCAGGTCCACCCCCCTTTATGCATGAACCCTTTGACTGAAAAAAAATCAGCTCTTTAATTGCATTTAATGACGTTCCTAACGTTCGTGGTCATGCCATTACTTTTCCAGAGGGGAAGGAAAAGCCTCTCCTCCAGCGCCGTGTCCTGAGTCTGCTGGCAGCCTCGCACAGCAGCTCTGAAGGGTGAAGTCCCCCTCCCCAAAGAGCCTCATTGTGATGTTTACTCATTTACATGCCAGCATAATGAACTAGTTCATTGCTGCCCATTTATCAAATGGGATGGGGAACTGTGTTGGGCTGGGAGGAATTGGGACTTGCTGGAGAAGGGATTATGCAGAGGGAACGGAGGAGAGACGCCAAGAAAGAAGAGTGGGAGAGAGAAAGGAAAGTAGGGAACGAGGGAAACCCAGGAGTAGGCTTGGCGGTGGCTATGAAGGTGAGTGGATAGTGTCATGGGCTGGTTAACAGCTTCATTGCTACACGTGCTGCCCTTGACCTTTTTCCTTGTGAACGTGAGGGATCGAAGGGATTGCTATCGTCAATGAGGTCTTGCCCCGCAGCCCGTCATTAAAAATGGAAATTTGCCTTCTGCTAAATTAAGCTTGGCCCCCCCCAGCCTGGTACGAGGAGTCCCGGGCTGCACTGCACGACTACTAGTGCTGCCACTAGGATTTTTGCTATGAGGTGTATATTGAGTGAAATTCTTCATGCAGTAAAGGTTATTTTCAAGGAAATTTAAGATGTACCGTTTACTTGGTGGGAGAGGAAGCAATACTGCCTTTGGCACTACTGTCCCTTCAGACCATAATTCAAAGGTCTTGGCTACAAAACCCATGTACGTTAATGTAGTCGAGTATTATACAGAATTAATATTTAAGTATTATAAATCACTACCTCTTCTGTAGTGCATGGCTTGCTTACTAGAATGATAATACACTTGTTAAATCTTTTAAATGGCTTAACGCTATTCAGTAAATGTGCACATTGCTAATTAAAGCAACATTACCACGAGAGGTGATCAGATTACACATATTTCTTCAACAATTGCCTCTTGTAAATTAAATAGAAGAAAGATGGTATTTTCCTGTAAGACTGATTCAAGTTTGAAAATGTCAATAGATGCAAAAAGCCACCCCAGAGCCTTACTCGATAAAATGCAAGTAGAGAAGTAATGACATGGTCAATAGTAACTGCCATCACCTATAGAGAAATCAGATTGCCGGGCCTAGATCTATAAAACTCTTGCCAAAGTAGAACCTCATTTACACATACAGATCTTCATACCCTTTGCGAAGAAAAGCATATGTGACAGCTGAGAGGTTTCAGTTTGCCAAAGATCTTTCACTCTGAATACAGTAAATGTCACATCTGTTTATTTATGGTTAAATTTTGCTAACTATCTGTAGAAATATTTGGATTTTTCCTATAGTGATGGAGATGTTTTAAAAGCAAGAGAATCCAGACTGTAATGCAGCTGCAGCACAAAACCATATGGGCGCTAAAGGGAGGAAAGATGCATCACAAAATTACTCGAAGTAAACATAAACCACATGTAATCCTCAGAAGGATATTAGACAGAATACATAAATGCCTGGATATTGCTATGAAAGGATGCAATCAGGCAGTAAGTTATTGCACATGCCGAAAATAATCACACTTGCATAGCGCTTTACATTTTCCAAATGCCATACTGCAAGCATTATCTAATTTATCCAGGAAAGCTGAATGATTTCAGCAACTGAAGTGGGGATGTAGCAATGTTTAGATCCTGCTTTGGAAAACTATGCAGGTGATAACTACGCGTCCCACTTGTTTCACAGCGTCCCAGGAACTTCGTATGGGCCACCTGAAAAGCCCTGGGTTTTCTTTTAATCCATTAACATCTTTGGCTTTGTTACAGCTTCTTTACAAGGTGTTTCTGCTTGATTTATTGGCATCCTGGGAATATGTCCATCAGGAGCAAGCGGTCCCGTGGCATGAAGAGTCAATACAACGAACACTGTCAGGAGTGGCTGGAAGACTCTGTGTACTTTTGTCTGTCTCTCTGGCCGGCCTTAAATCTTACAACGGGGAAGAACATTTTTTAAAACAAGTCTCATCTGAGATCAACAGCAATTACTTGTACACTGTGTTGTTTTACATACCTTTATACTTTTTATTTTATTTTTAAAATAAAAAGTAGAATTGTGCTGAGGTTTAGCTTTCCAAAAATGCATCACAGGGAGCCAACTACTGATTCACATGATTTACATTGGCAGTATCTAGCTTTGCATATGTAATATAAGGAATTAGACATCTGTTAGGGTTTTTGTAACTACACACAGTATAAACTCTTCCATTGGGTAATTCAGATACAATGGTGTTGAGGCCCAAGCGCAAACCTGAATTTGTACATGGTAATATAGATCTCCGTCTCGGATATGAAAAAGATCGGGGCGACTGGCGGCAGGAGGAATAAAACATTTCCTAGCAACTCTGAATGTGTTTCTCTTCCTACAGATGACATGGAAGCCATTCCTGTCAAACAGTTTGTTAAACATATCAGTGAACTGTATTCAAATAACCAGCATGGATTCTCAGAAGACTTTGAGGTACGTTCCCTTATCTTTTAATGAAGTAGCCTTTTCCTGCCGCAGCTGAACATGTTGTGTACACCTAGCAAGGGACAATGTCAGACCGATATGAGGCCGCTGTGAAAACAGCAAGTCTGCTTCTGCACCCTATCAGATGAAGTATTTCCAGCAGAGAGCACCACGTTTTAAGGCTGTTCATATACCAAGTGCTGGCGAGACCTCATCTGGAAGAGTCCTTCCTGGTTTTCAGAAAGGGGAAAGCTGCAGCGTGAGTAAAGGTTGCAGACTGGCCCCCCCCGCGTGAAATGTCACACGTGGCTCTTTGCCATCCATCACTCTTGGGCCACTTCCCAAAGCTCCCGTCCATTAGTTCTTTGAATTACTATTATCGGTTGCTTACTAGGAAACATCCCCATTGCCATCGCTGGGATTTTTGTCCAAATAACACCTGAACGAGGTGCTTAGTCCGCGGTATTTATATCATGCAAAGGTTTTAAGAGCTGCCGCTTGCTACAGACAACTCGGAGGGTCTAGGCTGAATCCCAATCTCTGTTGCCCCCTTGCAAATCTGTTGCAAGTCCTCCAACGTAGGAGTAAGACCAAAATTCAGCCCCTTAGGGCTATAGGAAGGTCCAGTGAGCTACACAAGGCACTTCTGTGCTACGAAGAAACAAGTTTGAGAAGTTTAATGTGCCAATGGCATTGCTCTGGTAATCCTTCCACACGCTGAAGAAGTCTAGTGCGTGGGTGGCCTCGATGATGTCCGTGAAATTACTGAGTTGAGCAAATGCTCTTCAGCATGAGGAAGGGTTGCAAACTCTGTCCCAAATCTAGTGATCCTGTAGTTAACACAATCTCCGACATTTTCAGGAGCAACTTTCTGCTAGTTCACACCTGGGCGTTGGAAACATTGGTGTGGATGAGATGGTTTCAACTAGGAAGGCTGGTAAATAGCAGGCAGCTGCGGTGGCGTTTCAGTGGAGGGCCAAAAACCACCCATATTCTTCAATATATGGCTGTTTTAAAAAAAGTAATATAGGTACATGAGTTATAAAGGCAGATGTCTTTACACACATAACAGTGAAACATAACTGGTGGGCTAATATCTAAAGCCGCTTTGCTTAATGGAATAAAGACAAGACTGCATGCAGGTATTGTCTTTAATGGTCCCATTAAAAACCATTTACTGCTGTTTGGTTACCGTCTGTCTGAGTGGCTGCATTGCCTGATGCCCAAAAACTATTGTGTAAGTCATAAACATTTTGTATTCATGAGGATAGCAAATGTGTGAGGTGTTAAAGTGATTTAGTTCAATTGACTGCTGGCTGGATGACTGAGCAGGAATATTGAGGCATTTAACAATGTTGATGGTATTCAGGACAAACATTTATCCTCCAGAGGGTAGAATTTGATCAGGATGATCAAATGCGACTCAGTCGTCTCAATTATGTATGAATTGAGACCCCAGTGCTATTCATCACAGCTGGTTTGGACACCATTTAATTATTCAAAATAATCAGCTACACATCTGTAAACTTGGTCTGACTTAAAGCAGGCTTTGCTTCAGCTGCCTCAAAATCATTGCTATTAACAAATGTTGGACATCTTCCGCCCATAGCTTTCAGCAGAGGGAAATACAGCTCTAATAGCCTTTTTCTTCCCTTCATGCTACGGCTGCTCTCCGTGACTGCCGCTCCGTGATAGCTTGTCAGGAGAGATTGCTTTAACCAATTAGTCCTGTTCTCGGGAGTTCACCAGCTCTGATGAAGGGAAGCGGCCTTTTATAACTGTACTGCACAGCGAGCAAATCCTGCTCTTTCTGCCAGTGTGAGACTCAGCGTAACTCCTCGAAGCCACTGTGGTTACTCCCATTTTATTTCGGTGCAAACGAGGCCCGAATTTGGTCCTTAGGTTTTTAAAAAAAAAAAACAAATAAAAAAGAAATCTCCTCCTCTGAGAAGAGGCTGCGACTAGAACGATTGCTGCCTTGAGAAGAAGATACATATATATATATATATATATATGCATATACATACGCACATAGACACATATATACATATGCATATAGACACATATACCTACACATATATACATACACATATATATGAGGAATGGCCCCTTCCTACAATGGCTTATATTCCCTTTGGTGGCACATGCATGGATAGGATTCTCCTCTCCCTTGTACCAGCGTCACCTCAATGGACTCCCAAAGACATCTGTGGTGTAACAAGGACCGAGACCGGGACCGGGATGGATGCATTAAGACCATGGGGTGACATTTCCGCAGCACCTAAGCGTGGGAGAAATGTGCGTCCATTTTTTTTTCCAAAGGAGCCTGAGATGACCGCCGTGCCGCAAGCTCGCTCTCCAGCTGCAGTGAAGATGTAGTTTCTGTGCGGCTGAAAGGCAGAGCAGCTCACGCTCATTCAGGCCTTTGGTCACTTTTGAGAGGCAGACTGATGCTCTTAAGTCACTTAGCCAAAAGTATCGTCTGTCCGTATAAAGTTCAGTTGTGTGAGAGAAAATAGGAGCCTAGCTGCTGAAAGGGAGCGTATTCTTCTCTTCCCCCGGGGGACTTCGGACCATAAGACAGACAGACCATCCAAAAAGTAGCTGTAAAGTTTCCATAGCAGTCAGCTCTGTGAAAGAAGCTGAAAGGGAGATGAGTGTGTTAGGAACAAATGCAATCTGCCTTGAGCAAAAGGCATATATTCTCTTGGTTTGCTTCTCTCTTCTTTCCTGTGTTTTTGGAAGCCTGCCTTGAGTTTTACAGGGAATTTCATTGTAAGAGGATTCTTTTGGAAGCAAATACTCAAAACCACTTCCCTCTCTCCCTTTTAAAGGCAGAGGTAGAGTTAAATATTTTCCGAATGTGCTAAGGAAGCATTTTACGTGACAGAGAAAAGGTCTCTAAACGCACAGCTCTTTCTATGGAAGGTAGATCCAAAATGCATCCATATTCCCATCAGGGTGTCATGCTGCCAGAAGACCGCTTTATCATCCAGTTCACTAGTCTTTCTTATACACACACAATAGTTAAGGATGCCCCTGAGCACAATGAATTTAGGACTTTTGATAGCGGAGGAAGCGTTAAGTCTGAGTGGCGCAGGGTCGTGCGCTGTCGCATGTTGTCAGTCTGAGAGGGCACAGGAGGCGAGAGCTCCCCTGTGATGATGCTAGATGCGAGGGCATCTCTATTGCAGCGTAGACAGAAACCCTGCCTTGTTGAGCTGGAAAGTGTAATGCCGGGGACCGGTTATTTTAAATTGAACAAGTAGAATTTGAAGGTAACGGTACTCAAGGGAGACCCACTTGCCTGTGCTTCCTACTGCTAATCGTTCATCTGATGGTCCCACCTTCACACTTCAGGCCAGGTGAGGTCCCTGCCCCTCGGACCTTGACGTCTCATGGGAAGCAAGCCGTGGGAGGAAGAGTTACAAGGAGGATGGGAGTGACGGGAATGAAATGAGTGTGCATGGAGTGACGCTTCTGTGTCTCGGGATGTGTCAGTGCAGGGCAGCTCCGTGCAGAGAGATCTGCTCACACGTCTGTGTATGCTAGAGGTGTCAACCCCCCGTGCAGTGCATGGAGCTGGTACACGGACACGTGCCACATGGGGTGTCCCCTGGGCTGGGCCGGCCCTGTGCACTGGTTCCAGCACAGCCCGCTCAGGCCCACAGACTGGCCCAGTGACCCTCATCCACCTTGTGCGGTGGGATGGGTTTGACACCCCTGGTGTACACACCCCTTGGGTCCCAAAACCAGTACAGCTGGCTCAGCATAGCAGTCCGCCTGGCCCAACTAGCCCTGCTGAGACCCACAGCCACGCTGCTCCTGGGTCTGGCACGAGCTCACGGCATGCTGTAGTACCCTGCCCCTAGCCATCCACAAACGGCGTGGCCAGCCCTTCCAGCAGTGCTCATTGCCAGAGGAAACGACGTTCAAGCTGAAGCCGACATGGGAAGCAAAGGACAATGTGGCCTTCGGCATTGTGCATGCCCCATGCTGTTGACCGTGGGCCAGCAAAGGCTCTGCCCGACAGTTGTAATCATTGTTAAAATGGCCTGTCCCTAGCTTTGTGCACTGCTAGAGTAGCCTGTTCAGTTTGCTTTCCCCTTCCCCGTGTGTCGCGTGCCCCCAGCTCTCCCCTTCACCTCGTGTTGCTAAAGGATTGACGCCCACACAAGACTCTCCCAGTACCGTTCCTGTGCAAGGTCCTTGCAAGCCGCCGGGTCTGTAGCAGCGCGTCCTCGGAGCATTTCCCTTGGGCCAGCAGGAGCATGGGCAAGGACTACCAAACGTTGGCTCAGGAGATTGTCATGATTGATGGCATGGGGTGAAAAAGATCTTTGTCACGAACAAATTTGCTGTCTTAGTGCCGGACGACCCCGACATAATTTCCCGATGCACCTCCTGAACTAGCTTCCTTTGCACCTTCAGAAAAAGGTCTTCTGAGCACGCCACCTCGACCACCCCCTTGAAGGAGCTGCGCCCACAGAAGCGAAGCCAACAGGCTGCTTGCTGAGCCAGCCACTTCTAGCTCATTAGTTCGTATTACCAGACATGTAGCGGTTTGATTTTACACTTTTAAGTTTAGTGAAAATTCTTTGAAGTTTATCAAACTAATCTGTAACTGGCTTCAGGAAGGCAATGAAAATGGGTCATTAAACTTGGGTGTATCAAATCCCAATTAGCATTAGCACGGACAATATAATTAAAAGCTAAATTAGCCATAATAGCTTGGAATATAACATTTCTTGCAGTAACTAAAGGTCGATTGAAACCGTGTACTTTGAGTTCTCAAGTGGTCAATGAGGAGTTGAAAAGGACAAAATGAGAGGATGTGCCTGTTCATCTTCAGAGAGTAACGTGCTCAGTGTAAAGGACACTGGCTCGTTAGCTAGTCTGCAATTAAAGTCAGCGAAAGAAATGACGTGGTCTAGATGCCTCCTTCCGCAGCGACCCACCGACAGCTGTTCCAGATAAAACCTGAAATTCTCGCACTGGATACGAATGCGGTCGTTGGTCTTTGCCCAAGTCACAACATCAGGAGGGACCTGGCCTCGTGCTGGTGTTCTCCGGCCAAAAGCAAAGGCAAAAATATGGGTTAAAACCTGCAGAGCAGGATCGACCTAAGACATAGTAACATCACGGGGTGAAAACAGACTGGAGTTTATGTTCACCTCTTCCAGTGACTCCTACCAGTTCCTGCCCCCCCGACCAGTCTGACGCCCACCTTTCTCCCCTGAGAAACGTAGCTGCTACTCTTGCCTTCTCTACCTGCCAGGCATCCTGGAAGAAGTTGGCCATCTAAGGAAGCCTATGGAAAACCACTTAGCAATAACTCATTATTTGCCTTATAGGGCTGGTTGATTGTCTGATCCCTTTGCCGTGGTATTTTCTGAGACCGGGAGCTCTTCGAGGCAGGGGTCAGGTCTAGTTTTATGTGTGAAGACCATCTCGCACCTTGTGAATGTTACCACGATGCAGACACCTTACCCACCCCTCCACTGTCACTGAAGCCAGCTTAGGAAGACCTGGTGCCTGGACAGTGGTTTCCAGCATAGTGGAAATCATCTAGCACATCTAGAAAACTCTAGTTCATCATTTCCAGAAGCCCTGAGGGGTGGCCTGCATCAAATAGTGATGGATGCTTGGATCCACACCATGTTCATCCCTTCAGCTGACCCCGCTAGGGCCAAGTAGGCCAACGCTTTTCCTAAGGCTTAACCCAAACTTCCCTTGTTGCAGTTGAAGCCTGTTACTTGCCCTGTTTCCAGCTGACACGGGCTGCAACTAAGGGCGGAGGACTTTGTTTTTTCAAACATTTTGACAGTTTTCAAGAATACTAGAATTCCCTTGGAAATATAGTAGGGTTGTAGTGTTATTGCAGCCGTAATGGTGCGGGAAAGGCCTGAGAGACCCTTCTTTTGTGATGTCTTTTATTGGACCAACCGTATAGTTGGGAGAGATGTTGGCCAAGTTTTTCGGTATAAAGTGCCTTGCCTGTTGGGTTCAAAAGAGACTTTTCCAAAGCATCAGCTCTTGCTGTGTCAGACCTCGTATTCCAGGGCCACATTTTTTTCTCCCCTGTCATTTTATGTCTAATCTCACCTTCTATTCACTTTTTATTGGCCAGCCAGGAAAACTGAGAACGCAGTCAACATCCACTTAAAAAGGTTCATTAAAATGACTAACTGCATATAACTGTTCCTTTATGGAAAAATCCTATAGAATTTAATAGAAAGTGATGCATTGACTCCATAGTATTTAAGCCATCTTAGAGAATTCCTTTGCAAGGATGTAATTTTCTATTAAATGTGATGTTCTTTGGAGTATTCTCCAAAAGGCTCTTATTGGATTTGCCTATATTCAGCTGTAGGAGTTTGCCATCAATATTTGAACATGCATAGCCATTCCAAAAAGTTTTGTAATGAACATAAACTTTTTAAAAATTTGATGAGCACCCTCTAATCGTGTAGGAATAGAAAGTTTTGTACTTAAAAAAAAACAAACAAACAAACAAAAATGCAAGCAGTTTCCCATTCGTGGCTTAGACTGAGCTAATGTTGCTTGTGGTTTAATCCGTGCTCCAAAGCGGAGTGTTTTCCGTGGCCCGTTGGAGCTGGCAGGCGGTGTTAAACCAAGTGCTGAAATTAAGGTGAAAAATGTTTTGCTTTTCCCTGGTAGAAATGGGATTCTGTTCATTTAGGCCAGCGAAGGGTTTTGTCTCGTTCATCTTTGTCATAGTTCAGCTCATCTCCTTTGCCTCCAGTGTCTTCCTCCCTTTCAAAGAGAGAGGAAGAGGCAACTGTTCGCTAGGGAATGCCCTGTGAATATAAAAGCCACAGACTGTACTTGGTTTTGGTATACTTTGCACTTTTTAAATGTAAATGCGGTGAAAAATATCAAAATTGCTATGCAATTCCTTTGTGAAATGTCTGCATAATGCCGAACTCTGTTACATCTGCTGTTTGTATAGCATTTCTCTTGATAATTTTCTCTGTCACTTAGCTCTTGATCTTTGTAGCAGCTGTGTTCTGCTAATGACTTCCCTTATTAGGCAGGTTCTATACTGTTATTTTTGAAGCCTACAGTACAAAGTAATTTGGCACTTCCCTTCCCTAGCTGTGAGGAAATCTAGGTTATAAAATGTGACTTCTTGAACCCGCTAAATAGCTTCTCCTACAAATGTTTAAACAAGGCCACATCAGTGTATTTTCAAGAAGTGGTTCCAGTGTAATGGAATAATAGTAGTGTTCATGCTAATGATGAGGAAGTTAAGTAGACGTAAGAAGGATATTTTAAAAGGGGCATTGTCAGTGGGCTTGCAGGTTAAAATAGCTCCCCGGATGAATAGAGGACGTGTTTGACTAGTTAAGGCCGCAAGACGTGCTCAGAAATTCTGTAGGTCTTTAGGTAAATCTGGTTGCAGGTCAGTCGTTGGGATCCCCATGCTGTGGGGAGAAGACGTCCCGCTCTGGCGTTTTCACGGCCGCGTGTTGATACGGTTTGGTACCCATCTTGGAGTATGCCAGGATCGGAAAGCCAGTGGGAGCTGCCCACCTATCCTATTTAGACACCCTTGTAGAAGTCACTGGGCACCTGTCTGCCTTGTTAGATGCTTAAACGCCTCTGCAACTCCACCCCTGAGGAGATGGCCCTGCTGCACATGAAAAAAACTGCATTTTTCTTCCAAAATCTGGAAATCTTTTGCTCTTCAGATGTCAGGTGGGCATCGGGCACTGTCCGTCTCCCCCACGGATCTATTTCATTCATATGGTATGGAAACACCAATGCCACAAATAGGTGCAGAGGCCAGCTGGTCCAGATGTTGGCTGGAAAACCACACCAGAACCATTTCCATAACACACCATCGGCGCACGCTCCTTTCTTCCCACCAGAAAGTGTTGCACTGTAGGTAGGGGAGTCCTGTCCGAGCACGCGCCAACAGTGGAGGTTATCGTAGAGCAAACCTGCTATCATAGGGCACATCTACACGAGACACTTACTGCACATTGGCCTCATAACACTGCGCAGTAGTGTGTCACTGCACAAACCGTGCTAATAGCCCACTGCGCAGTGTTATTAGGCTAATGCGCAGTAAGCGTCACTAAATAACCGTGCACCGGTGCTAATGCTCAGTAACTTTCGGTACTGCGCTTTTTGTTAGTCCTTCATTAAGGAAGTATTAAACTAAATGCACATTAATGAATGTGTAAACGCGCCCATAGAGAAGTAAGGCTGGAAGGAGCCTCAAGAGATCATCTAGTCCAACCGGGGATCAAACTTGTGACTTTGGTGAGCTGCTGAGCTGTGCGGCCGCTCCTTGTAGGAGGGAACAACACCCGCAAGGAGCAGCGGTGCCACTTTGCACTGAAATCTCTTCCAAAAAAGCCAACATTTTCTGCAGTGGGCGGGGGAAGGAGAAGAAGAGCCCATATTGTGTGTTGCATAGACTTTCCGCTGCTCTCCTCCGAAGCGTGACCTTCACCCATCACGGAGACTCGGTTCTGTAATCGAAGTCTGGGAGTCCGCTAATGTCCCGGGTTTAATTAGACGGGAACTTGCTGGCAGATTAAAAAAATAAATCAGACAATTAAAGTGTTGATGTTTAAGCCTGTTTTCAGGGAGCTGTTGTAAAACAGAGACAAACTGCCTGTTCTTGCTCTGATGTCTTTTCTGTCTGAATAATTGTATTAATAGGAAGTGCAGCGCTGTACGGCCGACATGAGCATCACGGCAGAACATTCCAACCACCCCGATAACAAGCACAAGAACAGATACATCAACATTTTAGCATGTGAGTAAGCACTTGTAGTAAAGATAGCACAGCCATTGCAAGAGGCGCTCGCTTCAGAGCGGACCAGACCGCAAGCGGGGAACCAGGTTGTTTGAAATGACTTAGACCAGAGAAGGGCGGCCACTAAAGTTTGCCAGCGTGGTCGTGAAATCCTCTCCAACCAAGTTGTCCAAAGTTTTTAAGTTGTGCGTTTCACTCGTTCCCGTACGAAAATGTCGGCGCTTTGACATCGGGTAGGGTGAGGGCAGTGTACAAAGGGAGCCGTCCTGTGTAAAGCCACGGAGCTGGGTAATTAGGATCGAATCACTGTCAGCACTGTGTGCGCTCATCTGGGGGAAGGTGACTTTGAGGAGGGCCATGGAGGGGCAGAGTGTTTTATTGATCCATGAGTTTCCTTCCTACTTCCAAATATGCTACATTTGGCATCTGGTGGAGAACGTGACCGGGACAGACGGCAGCATACACAGTGCAGCGCAGGTGTCCTTTTGAGAACCGCTAACCTGAAGGCCATTTCAAGAGTAGGACAGGCCGTGGGAAGCAGAATAAGGCTGTCTGTAATCTTCTCTGACGAGGAACTGAGGCAGGATCCTAGCATTTTGAGCCAGCACCAAGGTTGCAATGTAAACCCGCTCTCAGGTCCAGCAAGTGCAGGAGCAGCAAGCGCGGCATGATTTTACTTGAATTATAGTGAACACCTGACTCACCTGTGCCAGGTGCACACCATGGCAGGGATGTGAGCCTGGGTCCTGGGAGACATAGTTCAATTCCTTGCTCCTTGGTGGTTCTTGTGCAGCCGTGAGCGAGTCGAGGGTCCCTGTGCCTGGCTCCTGCGGTGCGTGGCATGGGCTAAGGGTGCCGGCCTGCTGCACAGGACGGGGTGCAGGGATTGCAGTGTACAAAAATAGGAGGGATTACCCCTCCTCAAACAAGCGTGAGATGGTCCAAACAGCGCCTTAATGAGATCCTCCTTCCCCTAGTAACATCTTCTGCTCCCAGCTTTCGAAAGGGACCTGTCGCATTAAAGAAATCACATACTTTAAATGAATCGGTGCAAAGCCTGAGAATGTGTTCCCGCAACCCCAGGGCAGGCTCCTCCACTTCCCCTTCACTCCAGTTTCTTCAGGGTGTTTGTAAAGGGCATGACTCCCTCCCAGAAATGTGCTGGAAATAGGGTGTTTTACCTGCCTTGTTATGCATTTTCTTCTTAGTGCGCTTCTGCTGTGTGTTCTCCCCACAGATGATCACAGTAGGGTGAAGCTAAGGCCTTTACCGGGAAAAGACTCTAAGCACAGCGACTACATTAATGCTAATTATGTTGATGTAAGTTGTTTGAATGTTTTTTTTTCCACCTCTTCTCTTCTTGTGAATCCTTTCATACAAGGGGAATATAACTGGTTATTGCTTCTGAAGTGTTTGTGTTTTGCAAGTCCCTGGCATGTCTGCTGCCAGCTCCTCAAATATTCAGAATGGGAAAGGCACCTTTCTTTGTTACTGTTAAATTATTAACATGTCTGCCGTGATATTGCTTTCATCTGACTTTGCATTATGCTTTTCTTTGAAGGGTTACAACAAAGCAAAAGCCTACATAGCCACCCAGGGACCCTTAAAGTCGACATTTGAAGATTTCTGGAGGATGATTTGGGAGCAAAATACCGGAATTATTGTCATGATCACAAACCTTGTGGAAAAGGGAAGGGTAAGGGAGCATCTTCACAGCTACTTAATACAGTGAATTAAGAACAATATCTGGTGCTGTCTGCAGAGGCAGCATTTTTTTAAATGCTCAACTAGCCTGTTCACGGCTGTACAGCCTGAAAAGCGCGCAGTAGAGCTGTCCCTTCCTTTTTATTTGTCCACCTTTTCTAATAAACGGTAGACTTGGGTGGTTTTAAAACCCAAGCGCGCCAAACCCTGACCCAGCACCCTCTCCCTTTCTTTAGAGGAAATGCGATCAGTACTGGCCCACCGAGAACAGCGAGGAGTACGGCAACATTATCGTCACGCTGAAGAGCACAAAAGTCCATGCCTGCTACACCGTCCGCCGCTTCACGGTCCGAAACGCCAAGATGAAGAAGGCAAGTGAGCCCGTTTTGTTCGCGGTCACTTGTCGTGGGGCTTGTCGCGTGGGGGCAGCGTGCCGTGTGTGCCTTCAGGCCTGGCGTGCTGTCTGTACCGCTGTGGAGAAGCCTGGACCATTGCATCCCTGATGAAAGGCTGCATCCGCAGTTCTTTGCGCTGAAAGCGAGGAGCTGCGCGGTGCTTCCCGGTCCCCGTAGCTGGGTGCCGTGACCCGCGACCGCCCCAGTATGTTCTCGCCTTGCCCAGCTGGAGGCAGGGGGAGAAGACCTGGAAAAGACTCTAAGCCCAGCAACTATATTAATGTTAATTAAGTTGTTAGAATGGGTTTTTTCTCTTTCTTATTGTGAATCCTTTCATCCTTTTCATACCTTAATCCTAACCCTTTTGGCCTTCCCGAGAAGCAGGTGTTTATCATGCGTCTCTGCCGTGCGGCCACACTTTCCTTTCCTAACGTGTCCCTTCCTGTTGCGTGCGCTCTTTGCCCAGGGTCAGAAAGGCAACCCCAAGGGGCGGCAGAACGAGAGGACGGTCATCCAGTACCACTACACCCAGTGGCCCGACATGGGCGTGCCGGAGTACGCGCTGCCGGTGCTGACCTTCGTGAGGAGATCCTCCGCAGCCAGGACCCCGGAGATGGGGCCCGTGGTCGTGCACTGCAGGTACGGCGAGGCGCGCTGTGCTTCACTGGCGCGTGTAAGACACACCTCGTACGCAGCACGGTGTGGCTGGAGAACCATCGGTGCCGGCGCAATACGTGGTTAGCTTGCAAATGGGTGTGGAACGAAATGTGCCACCGTGCAGAGGGTCTGTGCAAAGCTCCCGGCCCCCTTAAGCCCCTGGCTTGGCGGTGGGGCAGAGGCCTTGTGCCAGGCTCCAGCCCAGGGTGGGTTTCACATGCCGACAGGCAGTGGCAAGTGACATACGTGACCTCAGGTAACGGCCGTTTTGCAGTAGATGCACATCAATGGCTTCCTAAAGCTGCAGCAGTAATGAGCAGAAGACAGTAACAGGCCTCTTGGGCAACTGGTCGCACGTTGCAGCTAATGATTAGACTGAGACGCAGCTGAAACGGTTCACCCATGGGCTGGCGGATATCAGTGTTGTAAAGAGTTATTGGCAAACCGCCTCTTCACCCATAACCTGGGAACAGAAAGCAGTAGGATTAATTCCTATGAAGACTAGCTCCCCATTGCTGAATGTGGGGGAGCCTTTCATCGAAGCATGGACCTTACCCATGTTGACCGTAGGGATTGTGTAGTCTGGGTTAGCACTGGCCACTGAATGCCACCTGCGTTTGCTGGGGGCAGAGACTAAGGGTATGTCCACCCAAGGGATGGAGGGTGGGAGTGTGGCATGTAGGCACACACTTGTGTCACTGTGATCTCAGGAGCAAGGGGACTGCAGCAATTCGGATGGGGCAGAGGGGGCTTCGCAGCTGTCTTCACTGCTAGCACAGCGCGCGCCCCACTCGCACTTTCATTTTGCTGCAAGCTAGAAAGATGCAAAGAAAGAAGCCAGCTAGCTGAGGAGAGAAAGGGAAATAAACGCTGGGGAGAATTGTCATTAGAAGGGGTGGACGCAAGCACGCGTTGGGTCAGAATTAATATCCTAAAATGTCCAAGAAACCGTTTGGTTTCAGGACTTGAAGAAGCAGAAGTAATTGTGATGGACAGGAGTATTTGAGCTCAAGGATTTTGCCATTGTGAGCCCTGAATTTGGTAGAGTTGACTCATCCCGGTCTCTTCTCGTGTCTCGTGCAGCGCTGGTGTGGGCAGGACTGGCACCTACATTGTGATCGACAGCATGCTGCAGCAGATAAAAGACAAAAGCACAGTCAATGTCCTGGGCTTTCTGAAACACATCAGGACCCAGCGCAACTACCTCGTCCAGACAGAGGTAAAGATCGGGGAGATGCTGGATTTCAGGCTGCGTTCGTTTTTATGGGGTAATCGAAAGGGAAATGGATTTTTCAGTTATTTCTCTGTACAAATTAAATAAATCACCAGGCCTTTGGGGCGCTGGAACGTCTCTTTCCAAGATCATAAGCTTGCAACGCCTCTCTTGACTACCTCCGTTGTTTGTCGTATATTCGGGAACATGAATGCTGGTTTTGGCAGCGTGTTTTGAAAAGGAGGTTGTAACCCTTTCCTCTGTATGCTGCAAACCTTCATTAACGGCTGCACCCTGCTTCACTGACCTTGCTCTGAAACTGCTTGCTGTTGCTTTTCTAGGAGCAGTACATTTTTATTCATGATGCCTTGTTGGAAGCCATCCTTGGGAAGGAAACGGAAGTGTCTGCAAATCAGCTGCATAGTTACGTTAACAGCATCCTCATACCTGGAATAGGAGGCAAGACACGACTAGAGAAACAGTTCAAGGTACAGGAGCTCCCAGTCTCGCCAGGAGCATTTTAGTCACTCTGCTTTGGGAGTGTCTTTACTGTTGTATCTCGTAAGTAAAACTAGAGCCAAACCACTGGGTCAGCGCTGCCAAGCATGGAGGATTTAGCCTGAACAACCGTAGGTGCATTGCTGTAAATCAGGGTTAAGTCTATGGAGTCAGACTGGTGGGACGTTAAGAGTCAGGCACTGAAAGCAGCTTGAACCAACCCATGAATCTCAGCACTCCTGAAGTCTGATTAGCTTTTAATGTAGATCATCATCATGCCTCGAACCCAGCTCTAGTGAAAGCTAGCAGAATGGGGGCCGTTAGCATAATGTAAAACCTCGGCGCGGTCGGTGTAGGATAAACACGTCTTCCGCTACTCAGGAAATAGTCTTGTTGCTAATAGTTGTCGCACCTGCTGCCTTTCCAGTAATAAACCACAGAATAACATCCGTTGTGGCAAAAGAAACTGTTTTGCCTATTTCTCCCATTTTAGCATTAAAAGCTTCCTGGCATTTGAGGGTTTTTTTATTTATTTATTTTTTTTTACGAGCGTGTTTAAAATTATTTTGTGCGACTGTGTCTCATGGGAAGACTGTGCAGTCTGCTTTTCCAGCACAGCTCGCTCGGTCGTACACCAGCTAAGGACCCGAAAGTGTTAAATTACACCAGGTGCCAAACAATCCAGAAAATGAATAGGCCATTTTCTGAATTCACTTCTGAGAATCTCTGCATTTCTGCAGCATTCATGACATTCCAGATGCTTAAGCACCAAATTAAACAAGAAAAAAAATTGCAGTTGGAGAAGAAATTCAGCGCACAAATTTTTCTTCTTTTTCTCTCTTTTTTTGGAAAAATCCAAGTTCTAAACATGAGTCTCGTAGAGAAATCTTCCTGGCGGAAAGTTCAAAAGAAACCCCCCCGTGTCTTAGCAGCCCAAGTCCCAGTTCCCAAACTGACTTGAGACATGAAGGGCACAATGCGTGTCCCCTTTGTGTACCAGAACAGTGATTTGTCTCCCTGCGTAAGTGGCATTTTGGGGACTTTGGCATAGGTTGCAATGATATTATCCCTGCAGTGCAGACACGTAAGCGTGCACATGAAGACTGAGCATGCGCCGTCACCTACTCACTGGCCAGACACGTATGCGTGCCCTTTGTGGACATGCAAATGTATCCAAGGCCAGCTCCATGCATCCATTTTATTCGTTGACTTTTAAGGGAAAGGTTCAGTGACTTGCTTTCAAAAGGAGCACTGGAGAGGGGACTGGATAATACCTAACCTGTGGCCGGGTGATTAGAGAGTTGTTCTGGGCAGTGAGAGAGATGCCGGTTCAATCCCCCCTGGGTAAAGGGGGCCTAGAGCCCTAAACCTTGGCTTCCTGGGTGAGGGCCCCAGTGCCTAACACCTAAGTCGCTCAGTCTTGAGCAAGAATCAGCTTTGGAGGGAAGGTCATTTTCACTGGATGCCAAAGCTGAAATCTGCAGAGACCTGACTGTCCAATGAACGTATTTTATGATCGCTGTTGCCATCCCCCATACTTTAAACAAAATTAACAATGCAATTTGTTCTTCTAGTGATGCGTCTTTCTAGGAGTTAGGAAAAACCTTGCCTCTCGGTTCGGACAGCCATGACGACTCAGTCAAACCAATTACCGCTTATTTTCTTTCAGCTGGTTACACAATGTAATGCAAAATATGTGGAATGCTTCAGTGCTCAGAAAGACTGCAACAAAGAGAAGAACAGGAACTCATCAGTTGTGCCGTGTAAGATCACATCTTCAGTTTGATTCCTGCTTAGCAGAAGTTTTTGTGTTGGGTTTTGCCTGCGTTATGCATGAAGGAGCCTGGCTGCTAGTGAGGAGGGGAGTTGCCTTTTTGTTTGGCCGACGCTAGCTTGTCTTTTAAAATGATTTTGCTGAAACGGAGCAAAAGGGCCCGGTGACAGGGTCAGCCAGACGCCTTGTCCAAACACGGTGTTGAGCAGGTTTTTTATCGATGAAACTTCCAACATTGGATTACCACATTTTCTTGCATAAAACACGCACCTTTTCCCCCCCAAAAAACAGCTGCTGGAAATTGGGAGTACATATGTAATGCAAGTGAGTACAGCTAGAGCCATTTCTGCTGCTTCCCAGGGAAAAGCTAATGGAAAGTTGGCACGGGGTCCCGTAGGACAGCAGGCTCAGCTCCCCAGCTGCTGCAGCGTAGCTACTTCCTATAAGGAAAGAGCTATTTTTTTTTCATTCGGCCTTTCGAATACAAGGTGCGTCTCTTATTCTGGGGCATGTTGTATGCAAGGAAATACAGTCTTAGAGCTGTACGTGCAGAGGAGATTTTGCCATGTGGTTGAAGATGCTTGTTTTGCAACGTCGCTGCTGTAATTAAATCACCACATGTGGATGGCTCCGTTGACCTGGATAGCGCGTGAAGCCTAAACTCAAACCAGGGATATTGGGAGTCTGACTGCATCTCCTCCCTCTAAAGGAAGCTAGATGTGTTGAGGGAGACGTGTACGTTCTCGGGTGGCTAATCAAGAGGATTGCTTCAGCTGTGGAAACAGCTGCTAGCTCACCCCAAGGTCAGAGAAATGGTAGTAGGTAATGCTGCAGAAGGATGGAGGAGCAGAATAAATCAGATGGTTTTGTGCACAATTGGAGGCGAATGGAAGACAATAGCTGAGAATTATCTGAAATCCCCTGTCATCACTGCATATACTGTTATTTGGTAATTCGGCCTGCTGTGAAAATCTTGGCTATAGTAAAATTTGATTCCTGAAATTACTTTGTCCTTGTGGGAATATTGTGCAGTGTTTCTTTTCTATTCGGCTTTTGCTGGCAGTGCTTTATCATGGTTAAAATGCCGGCCAGCTCCTGGGGGAGACGGGAGTTGTGCCGTGTCGGATTTGTTAGAAACATCTGAGAAATTCCTGCTTTCTGTATTCTGCCGCGACCACGCTTTGATCCTTTTTTATCTTACAGCTGAGCGTGCGCGAGTGGGCCTCGCACCCTTGCCTGGAATGAAGGGAACCGACTACATTAATGCCTCTTACATCATGGTGAGGAAGCCAACCCTTAATTACAAAGTCAAATTACAAAGTTGAGAGGTGCTAAATACCAGATTCCTATCATTGTCTTCATTTTGTATATGGTGGCTCAGCATAAAGGAAGAGGTTTCAACATGTTTCCATAACGTAAAGCCATTAACTGTCTTTTATTAAAGTTCATTGTCTAAAGTACTGAAGTTACGCGAGGCATTTTTGTGGAATTAGTGTTTTCAGTGCCGGTTCTCAAATAAATGTTGGCGTTAACAGTAAACACAACCAGCGGGGACTCTGCAGAGCGGATATGAAGTTTGAAAGACGATGGTTTGTGTAGAAATATTAGCAATAACCCTTGAAGTAAATTAGGTAGGGCGTTTTCAGGTCTAGGCAAAGCCACGTTGTCCATTTCTGTAACAGAAAGATATTGCCTTCGGTGTATTCGGTTCAATAACCGTGTGCTTTTGCCTTTGCTGTGTAAGGGTTACTACAGGAGCAATGAGTTCATCATCACCCAGCACCCTCTGCCCCACACAACTAAGGACTTCTGGCGAATGATCTGGGATCACAATGCGCAGATCATTGTCATGCTGCCAGACAACCAGAGCTTGGTAAGTTGAGCACGGAGCCAGGTACGCTACATGGGAATCACTCCGCACAGCAGGAGACAGGAAGCGTGCACCTGGTTGCATGCCCTGGCTGCGTTTCAGTGGCAAATGCAGCTCATTTCCAGCCAGGTGCTTCAACTTGAGCTCGTGCTGCCCCCTTGTTACAGTAAAATGTGCCGTTAGGAACGGGGCGCGCTCCTTTCTGCGCTGTCCAAATCTCCCGTATCCTCCCGCGCAGGTAAAGGATGCTCTGCAAGCTAACGAACTGGAGCAAACCGTACAGCTCACTGGAAACAGGGCAGAGTCTGCGATACGTTTCTGAGGATTGTTTGATTGAAAGGATAGGACACGGCTGAGTTATTAGTTTGCCGGGGGCTAAGGTTAAGGACATGAAGCAGAGCAAAAATGTGTAACAGGGACAATCGTGTCGTTCTTAGTTTGCTTGGGGGACTGAAGGTTAAGGACCTTCAAGATAATAAATACATTATCTCCGTGTTAAGGAGAAAGCCGCTGTGGCTGTGTGAATGGATTTAAATGGAAATAAAAGCAGCTGAGCATTAAAGAAGAGGAAGTGCGACAGGCAAGGTGTTAATCACTGTTTTCAGGTTGCTGGCAGGTGTCTCAGGAGTGCAGGTTGAAAAGGATTAAGGACTAAACCGTTGATTTTTTTCCACATGTGCGTGCGTTTGAGGTGAATGGATAATTGTGGCTGGGAGGGGTGTGGGAGCTGTCTTCATTACAGCAGGAAAATAGCAGTCAGGAGGGCTGCGAGGAGGCAACGGTTTACATTCTTCCTCACCGTGGCAAGATTAAAGGGATCAGCTGCAATTCCAGGGGAAAGAGCTGTCGGACAAATGCAATCAAACCCAAAAGCACTGATGAAAAGGAAGCGTGCCAGGTGAAAATGAAGAGGCTGGCCCCGTCTTAAGACCACGTGGAAAAGTGCTGCTGCACGGGAACAATTATAATATAACCAGGGCGAGCGAGGCTTAGCGGGGTAGAAAAGTCCCTGGCATACTGCCTTGCAAGGGTACTTACTGTGCGATTCGGAGGGGGTTGAGTCCAGGGGGAGCAGAGGGGTACCAGCCCTGTCGTGCAGGCGATGGCAGGGTGAGAGCGCGGGAGGACTGATCACACAAGCAGCGGGGGCAGCTCAGTCTGATCTAAGAACAGTGGGTAGCAGGACAAGCGGCACTATCGAAGCACGGTCCTTTGGATGCTGGATAACGCTTTCAAAAGCCTCCCTGTGACCTCCGTCACATTTACAGCAAGGACTGAGGCACGTGCCCGTCTTCCATTAAATACTGGAATGTGAAATGCAGACGTCTGCTTTGAAGGCCTCTCCGTGGCTGCCAAGGCAGACGGGCAGGAGCTCCTCCCTGCGTAGGGCAGGGTTTCCTGGGTGTTTTTTAAAGTCTGCTCTGTCTTGTCCTTCGAAGCACAAGCCCTGCAGCACCTTGGAGTGGATCCAGCCCTTTCTTGTGCATGCTGGGGAAATACTACTGATTGCAAAGGCAAGGACAGTGACATCCAGCCCCCATGTGCAAGGGGGGAACAGGCCCTGCCTGTAACAGGCGATGGGGTTCAGTGACTCGGAAGATGCGCTTACTGTGCGGAGAACGATTTCTTGACAACATCATCCACAGCTGACCATTTCACGAGCGTGCCATGACACTGTATGCTTTCCCCCTTCATTGAACTCATCTCATTTACAGTCTAGCGTTGCCTCATCATTCAAGGACCTTTGCTATGCACTAAAGTTCCTTGAGAACTTGATTTATACGGACTTACTATTTCCTCGGGGTTAGGATTGTTTGGGGTTTTCTCCCCCCGGTTCAGAAAAATTCAACACCAAAGTGTTGTGCATTGATGCTAAAGGGCCTAATCCAAATCCCATCCTAAGGGCAGCTAGTATCTGTCTATTAACACCAATGGGCTTTGGATCAGGCCATCACAAGAAGTAAAAATTAAGGATACTAAGCGATTAATTTTTCAAGTTCTCTGAATTTTTCTAAGCAGGTGTCAGACTTGACTGCAAAAGAAAGAGTAATAGACTGCGTTGGCAGGAGGTGAGATGGTCTGGGAGCTACGGTGCCTGTATAAAGGTTAAGTGTTAGTGAACTAAAATAACCATTTCCCTAAGAAACCAATTAGGAAGCAGACTTCCAGTATTTGGAAAGCACAGGCAGGACGCTGCAGGCTTGCTGACTGCTGTAATAAGTCTGTCTTAGAGACAAACAGTTCGAAAAGATCAGTTTCTGGCCATATCTATTTATCAAACCCGTTTTTTGATCCATTGGATTTTTCAGTCGTACGTAAAATAAGATATTTGGGAAGCGGCGGCATCACGTTGCTCTATTCCCCCAGGCAGAAGATGAGTTTGTGTACTGGCCAAGTCGGGAGGAGTCCATGAACTGCGAGGCCTTTACCGTGACCCTTATCAGCAAAGACAGACTGTGCCTCTCTAATGAAGAGCAAATTATCATCCATGACTTCATCCTTGAAGCTACCCAGGTAAAGTAACCTTCCCCACCCCAAAAAACAGGGTCCGTTTTTCCTTCAGGGTGTTATCATTGCCAGTTAAAAAGCTCACGGTTGGTAAATGATGTTCAGATTTACTTGTCTGTATACGTGGGGGTGTCTTCTGCTGGAGACGGCCGTTCGTCTCCTTTCTCACGTCTCCAAAGCTGGTTCCTGGTAGCAGCTGCAGTATGATAAATGCAGCCATGGTGGGAGGGACAGAAGGGCCAGACCCATCTTCAGCTCCCTGGGAGAAAGGGCCTGCACTGGTGCGCCGGCCCCAGGGCTGACCAGCTTGCACAGCGCTCGGGGACGAGGGGGTGGCATGGCTGCACAGATGCAGGCAATGGCATGGTGCATCTTCTCTGCCTCGGGGGGGGGAAGGGGGGGTTTCCCTGTCTGGCCACTCCGATTTCCACAGGGAGAGGCGATAGGACCTCGGCATGCCTGAGTGTACAGACGTGGTGGTCAAGCATCTAACCCCGGGCTTGGTCTTCTGTTTCAGGATGACTACGTGCTGGAAGTGCGCCACTTCCAGTGTCCCAAATGGCCAAACCCAGACGCCCCCATAAGCAGTACCTTTGAACTTATCAATGTAATCAAGGAAGAGGCCTTAACGAGGGATGGCCCCACCATTGTTCACGATGAGTACGTCATCTGCCTCCTCCTCTTTTCCTGGTGGTTGTGCATGTGGGTAAGCGTACAGGTCAGGGGAGCCTGACCCTGAAACGCAGCTGCTCGTCCGCCTGAGGCAGGTCCATTGACTCGTTCGCTGCGTGAGGTCTGGTCTTTCAGGCTAGACCTCGCTGGTGGAAGCCGCGTCTGCTGTCTGTGCATTTTGGGCTGCTCTGCCCTGCACAAGTGTCCGAAGCACAGGCTTCCAGCAGCACAAGGCTCCCGGTTACCCTGCATTTGGTTTATGAAACCTTTATCCAAACCGTTGAATCCCCAGCATCTGCCCTGGGGGACCTGGAGCTTTGTGCAGCCAGTATGTAAGCAGGATTGTCCAGATTCAGCTCAGTCGGTCCTCACGATGTTCAACGAGGATAACTTGTACCAGAGAACCTGGTCTTCGTTCCTGGGTAGATAGTTCCCACCTCTCCCTCCCCGTAACGTTTTGCAGAGCTAACTCAGAATGAGCTCTGTGAGCCGCGAATGCAGTACAGTAGCTGTCGGTGTTTTCTGATGGGTGTATATTTTTGCACCACAACAGCGAATGCTCTGATGCCATTACTGTTTCAATACCTAATCGGAGAGGGTGTTGAATATGCCATTACATTTTCCCTGTTACTTTGTAAACAGTTGTAACCGGTTCCAAAACTGGGGAAATGCTGCTAATTGCGAAGGCAAGGACCGTGCATTACAGTCTCTTTGCATAGGGAGAAATTCATAACTGCAGAGAGCCAGCACGGGAGCGAGGCGTCATTGTAGTCCCATGCCCAGGCCTGATGTCAGCTGTTTGCAGAGGGGTAGAATTCACCTGTAGTGAATGGTGATACCCCTTTACACTAATGCAAGGCACTACTATAAAAAAACAAACAAACCAGTTTCGAGAGCCACCGGGCATCCCGTCACTGCTGGAGCTAAGTAGGGAAATCATTACAGTCTCCCTTATTTGCAGAGTACCATAGAGCCAGCCCAGCTCCTGGGGTGTAAGAACGTACGCTCATATTCCTCTGTGGCAAAGAAATCTTTCCCCTAACATGGGGGTACTGCTGGTGCAGCAGCTTTTTTGCAGCAGACTCCGACAAACAGTGCCTTGGGCGCTAGCAAGTGGTTTTTCTCCCACTGCTCCCTGCCTTGTAATGCACAGTGTAAGCTCGGTCGGCTCTTGCCAGCTCTTCCTTCTGTGCTGGCTTTAATATTCATGCTTTGGGTAGTCTGCCGTGTGATTTTGCTGCTCTTGCAGTATTTAAGATTATGTTTTACGGAATTAGTCCCATTATTGATTTGGACGTTTCATGCTAGACCCAAAGAAACAAGGGGAAAAAAAACAAACCTGTGTTTCTAGCCATGCTGAGTCATTTTTTTTCGGTAAATTGGTTTGTTGGTTTATTTGTCGTATTCGCTTCTTTTCATTTTTACGCCTCTCCCACCTTTGGTCGGAGCCTGAACAAGAACAAACATAGCTGAAAATGAAAATAAAAATGTCCTTGTAGCACATGAAACGGCTCCATCACGCAGCGCACTGTTAATCCCAAACGCATGGATCTGCACGTACCAAATGTCTGTCAAGTTTAGGAAGGGGGCAGGGGATGGCTTGAAAGCGAACGGTTTTGAAGTATGTTTGGAAGCTCCCGCTGCAGCCCCGAGCGCACCTCTGCCCATCTCACCCGCGCGCTGTTGCGGTTTTCCAGGTACGGAGCGGTGTCGGCGGGAACGCTGTGTGCCCTCACCACCCTGTCGCAGCAGCTGGAGAATGAAAACGCTGTCGATGTTTTCCAGGTGGCAAAGATGATCAATCTGATGCGGCCTGGAGTATTTACAGACATTGTAAGTCTTTACGTGCAAGATAAGTGGGAGGCTTACCAAGGGTTTTATTGAAGAGGAAGAACATCGGTTAAAACACACACGGGCACTGTTATCAAGCCTCAGTGCCTCTGCAGCCAGGCTGTGGCAGGTGCTTTTATGGGCTTCTCTTGCAGCCTGTGTTGTGCGCTTAGGACAGCACCTGGGAGCATCTTAGGAAAGTGATGGACCTGATGCTGAGGCTGCTGCTCTCTCTCTGAACGAAGCGTGCTAGTTCCCCCTGTTTGGGATTGCCTAAGCACGTGAGGAAGAGCCCCAGCCTAGAGGCAGGGGTGGGACAGGGCTGTAACTCACTGCGGCACAGCTGGAAGCGCAGGCTGTAGCCAGCCGGTCCAGTTTAGAGTAGCCCCCAGACTGATGCTCAGCCCGAAGAAACCAGAACTCACTCCTCTCCCCCACTCGTGTCTGAAATGCACGTCTTAGATTCGGGAGCAAAATCTATGCTGATGTACTTAGGCCCTGTATGTGCCCCACGGCAGACGGATGCTGCCATATGCTCTGCATTGTTACTGCACGCAAAATGTACGTTCCAGCGGGGAACGCACGTAGCGGTGGGACAGGGAGGTAGAAATGAAAAGGTGCCAGCAGAAGCAAGCCCCAGCGAAAAGCGTGTGCAAGTGCTTCTCCATTTTGCCCTGACCAGTTAGGTGTAACACCCAGACCGCTGAGGTGCACGTGAGGCTGATACAGTGCAGCAGTTAGCACCCAGTCACTTCAAGTAGTCATTGGGTCAGGTCCCGCGTGATCTACGTGCACAATGAGATGGCATTATA